CCACAGACTCCACCCTGATTATGCTGCCTGCGAGCACTCGGGCCACGCACATTCCTAATGAAAAGCCTCCCATACAATGCACACACACCTGACACAATTTCTCAGGTTGCCTCAGAGGTCGTTTCCCTATGAAAGGAACTCAGTGTGGGAACATTTGAGATTGTAGTTAAAGACACTGTACATGGTGCCCAAATAGAATTCATGTGCTAAGCTTCCAAACAGACTAAAAAATTACAATACTTTTTAAATGCTTCAAGTGAGGAAGACAATTTCAGCATTTATAGTGTAACCAGCATTCCAAAAAGATAAGCCCCAAGCTTTCAAAGGCCTGAAGCTTTAAAGCAAGCTCCTGACTCAAGCTAATAATCCCAAAACAAAATGGGAAGTATTGAGTGACTTACCGCTTAAAGCCAACATCTTATTTCTTATAACACTAGAGCAATATGGTTTTTCTGCAAAGGGGAATAATTGTAGTTACCATGCCCATTTTAGAAATAAATGAAGCTCAGACTGGTGATGTGCACAGGTTACACAAATGGAGCTCTTTATACCTTATTTAAAATTTCCTAAAGTAGTTAGCCCTGAACCCATTGTAACCAGAACACTATCACCTCTAAATTCCTCCTCTTGCTATGATAGTTCTTGGGTATCCAGAGAGCTACATAAGTACTACATGCACATGATTGCATCTGCCCATCCCCTTTGCATTCCATATACCCTGTATGGCATTTGAACTAACACGTCCTTCAAACAAGACATTCACTTTTGGCCATGACTGGTGTGGCTCAGTGGATTAGGTGTCATCCTGCAAACCTAAAGGTCACAGGTTCAATCCCTGGTCAGAGCACATGCCCAGGCTGCAGGCCAGGCCCTTGGTTGGGAGCATTCAACAGGCAATCAATCTATGTTTCTTTCATACACCGATGTTTCTTGGCCTCTCTTTCCCGCTTCTTTCCCATCTCTCTAAAAATAAGTAAATAAAATCTTTAAAAAAAAAGTAGTTTGCTTTCAATATTTCTTGCCTTTCCCATGACATAGCCAAGTACACTCACAGGCTCTCTGCTCTGTGAAGTCCTCCCTGATACTTCCCTAGAAAAGTATAAAGTGTAATGTCGACATTCCTATTTTTTCCCTACAATTTCGACATCTGGAGAGTCACACGATAACCTAAAGTAGCACAATGAAGCCCTTCTTTTGTGGCCTTTTGAACTGCCTGTGTTTGTCTCCTCTCTCAGAGTAAAAATTACTCTACTGGGATGTCCACACTTTGGTGCCTCTGCGCCACAATGGAAGAAGAAGAGTTGTCTTGGGCCACATGTTAAATGCATTGTCACACATAATCATAAAAAAAAGTCCCATAATATTCTAAGTAAATTTATGAATTTGTGTTGGGCCACATTCACAGCCATCCTGAGGCCCACAGGTCAGGTTGGACCCCCTGCTATAGAGCAGGACATGTTGATACTATTATGTTTCTAATGACTGATCTACAGTGGGATCTCAATAAATGTTAGGTAAATGAATGAAAATGTGAAAATAAGCCACATTTCCCAAGTAAAAAATGTGAATAAGTAAGTGAACAGAATTAAGCTGGGAAATCTCAAAGTAGAAAAATGCTCCTTTAGAAAAGAGAAGAAAAATGCCCTATAAAATCTATTTTCAAGTACTCAGACATTTTTCAAAGTTGTTACATGAATAAAGCTCCTTTAGACCTCTAGCTGTACAAACATTCCACATATGTTATTATTTTCCCCTAGATCCATTAGTCAAAGCAGCCTTACAAAGGTGATTCAGAGGTAGCTTTGGGAAAGCACACACTTGAATAATGAGAAGTCATAGACCTACTAGCCTACTTGAAGTAGTCAGGTGATTCAAAGGGTTTTGTAATTTGCTTTGGATCAAAAATAAAAACATCAAAGTCAGACATTAACAGTCTACATTTCTAGGACTTTTCAAGTACCTTTTAATTACAACACAGCACAATCTACTACAGACATCATCTTTTTTTGGCACATATTTTTAATATTTTAGGTGTGTGATTATCATTCTCACGGCATATAATTATGTTAACCAATAAATACTAACACATCTAATTCAGTCTACCAGACTGAAGATATGCAGAAGAATGAGTAGCTCCCAATTAACTCTTGCTTTTCTAAATTAGAATAAGAAAAAGAGCTAGAAAGTCTCACTTTCATTTCTGAATGGAACAAGCTCATCAAAAATACATTTTTATATTAATTCTCAACTTCCTCTATTTAAGGGTTATCATTATTAGTGTTTTAAACATTCTGAATGTTTTTCTTTTTATGTGAAAACCTCAAGGGACACTGTTACTCATTTGACTTTTTCATAGATTTTTGTCATTAATAAAAACATTTTTAAAATACTGACATCCTCAATATGGTCCTGGAACTTAAAATCAAACACAGGTGTAAATTCAGGGTCCAGCTGTGATCACATTACAGTCATATGTCCTAAAACTAATCACTTATCTGCTAAGTTTTAGTTTCCTTATCTACAAAATAAACACATCATTAGTATCTCAGAGTTGAGACAACTATGTCTTACTCAAGTGAGAATATGTGTGAAAGTGCTTTACAATCACTAAAGCACTGTACAAATATCAGTGATTATGAGTTTGTATGTACAATAAGATTGTGTAAACAAAAATACAGCTACTGAATAAATGCATTAAAATGCAGAGGTTTGAAGCCCTGGCTGGCATATCTCAGTGGATTGAGCGCAGGTTCGATTCCCAGTCAGGGCACATGCCTGGGTTGCGGGTCATGGCCCCCAGCAACCGCACATTGATGTTTCTCTCTCTCTCTCTTTCTCCCTCCATTCCCTCTCTAAAAATAAATAGATAAATAAATCTTAAAAATAAATAAATAAATAAAATGCAGAGGTTTATGGGAGGTGTATGTAGACATAGCATTAAGGAATGAAGGTTATATTAATCAAAATCCTCTAAGCAAAAGCTTCCCAGTATATATCAAGGTATAAAAATTGAGAAAAAAAGATTAATCAAAAACCCTATTTTCCCCATTTTTAAAAAGGCAGAGTCATAGAGAGATGATTTCAGTAGCAAACTCCATGGCCTTGCCGTCTGAGAAACTGAGCTTGAGGCACATGCTGGAGTGGAACAGAAAAAATGCCTAACATCACACCGTGGTCAGAAGCTGTGAAGCAACCAAGGCTTGCTGGAGAATTTCTGACCTGGGCCCATCCTCCAGCATCTTTCCAGAGTTCATCTTGCTTACCATTTTCCTTTTTTGGAATGAAATTTAGCTTTCCCCTGCTTGAGAACCTCCCACTATTCCCTATTATCTATCAAAGACAAGCCAAAATCTGAATCTGGCATTCAACTTTCCACCGGCTGTCCATAGGAAACCTCACTCCTATAGCCACTTTACGCCTTCAGTGGCCTCGTCCACAGCCACCTGGCCGCCTGCACATTTCTCCTCTATGGCTCAGGCCATTCTCCATCATTGCATCCATCATAATCCCCATCCTGCAATCTGAATACACAAGTCTTCTGATAAATCCTCTCAAATTCTGTCACCTTCAAAAGCATCTGTTATTGTCTTCCTTATGTTTCTGCAATATCTGCCATAGTTGAACTTACAATATTCTGGGCTCCTAGAAGATGACGATGGGGCCCTATATATTTCCCATTCAACCATCCACTTTTATTCTCCTATCTGTTACCCCAAAAGATCACAGTGCCTGCTGCATACCTGCAGCTCAGCATGTTTACCAAAATTAAGTGCATTTGCACTGCCAACAGGTCTGGTTGGGTCAAGGGCAAAGACAGCTAAGGAAGAGCTAAGCTCTCATGTGTTTTGCTTGTGCCCTCACATAGCAGACAGTCTCATTATATGTCTAGGAAAGGCAGTGGGGATGTGTCTAAAGAGGAAAGCACTGCCACCCTATGTGCAGTTCAGTGTTGAAATGACTGACAGTGGAGAAGCAGGGCTGGTTTTTAATTCATGAAAGAAACCATTGTGAATACAGGAACTGCTGTTCAAGAACTGAGTGAAACTCAGCATACCTTATGCACTGTCACTTTGTCAAGCAAGCATCACGCAAGTCTAACAACACGGTGACAATAGTGCCAGGCCAATGTTTGCATCTAGAGTTCTGCTGAATGCCTTCTGAGGACCTAGAGTCCTGAAAATCCACTTGCCATTACTGTGTGAAGATCAGAGAGAGACAGGAAGTGGCCACTAGCAATGGAATCTCAGCTTCTGAATGCAGATAGTATATGCCAATGCAGAAAAATAGCCAAGCAGCAAAGTAAGTTTACAAAAATGCATATATAAACTGGTAATGTGGCACCATCTACACTGAAAAAATATAGATTAATGGTTATCACAAAATTCTGGTGAGACTGAGGAGAAATTGCTATATTCAAATTGCCAATGTAAGCTATTCACAACCTTTGGAAAGAAAAATAAAGAAAGTGGTCATATTCCTCGATGTAGAAATCTCACTCTTTGGAATCTGAGACAGGGAAGTAGTTCCAAAGAAAATACCCATGAATATATCTTTCGTAGCATTACATACACCCAGGACCAAAAAATGGAAGCCCACCTCACATATCCAACATAAAGAATTTCTTCACAAAAGACCTGGCCCTCGCCTTGCCTTACCTTTAACGTACTCATGCTAAAGTCTATTTGTGAAAACTGTAACAACATGCAACAAAATATCCACATACTGGAAGCCAGAAAAAGAGACAGGCAATAAAAGAAGTTTAATTTTCATTCATATAATGCTTTTCTATAATGTTGTTGTAGTAATTTAAAGAGAAATTAATAAAATTAATTTTAAAAATTTCTGTTAACCTATGTAAATGATAAATAAAAAGACAAATAGACTATTGACTCTGAGAAGATAAAAAACAATGGAAGGGTTAGAAGCAGCAGCTTGTCCTTTCAGCTCAGTGTCAGCTCTTTGCAGCTGGCAACGTGGAGACCTTGCTGGGCAGCTCTTACCTGGGGAGGCCGAGGCTTGTAGGGCGAGCTGCTCTCAAGGTCAGCCAAGATGCTAGTCAGTGAGTCAATCTCCGCGTCCAGGCTGGAACGTCTCTCCTCGAGGGTCTTGCCTCCAGGATTTCCCTGCCAGAAGCAACACAGACATGTTCAGAAAGGAAATTGGCAGTATCTACTGCATTCAATCTGACTTCAAATTTTTCAAGTTCTAGTGTGGACTTGTCCAAGGTTTTCTGCATCTTTTTTTCCACTTCTTATAAAGTTTCAGTGAGGTAATCTGAGGTAGAATTATCCCTTTTTGACAAATAAGAAAACTCAGAAGTACAAGGTGATTTTCCTAAGACCACATGCTTATTTTTTGATGAGTATAAAAATAAAACTAAATGTCTCCATCCTGTACTCAAGGATCAGGTCCACCTGGAAAGGTATTACAAGTTCTTTGTGTTCAAAATCACTGCTTAGAATGATGGCATTTTAGCTGGAACAGAAGGGCAAAGGTGGGAGAGAGGAATCGGTGGGGGATCAGTGGACATTAGTTGTCTCTGTGACGGAGATGGCAAGTCCTGATCAACAAGTCTACAATGAACTGAACGTGACTGCTCAGGGTTCTGGCCGAGGGGCTGGCATAGGAAACATGTGGCGGTGGTCCCTGATCTGGAAGCTATGGCTTAGTGGATTTCATATTTCAATACCCCATGTTATCAGAAGCACCAACTTCTACCTACACTCAGAATCAATGAGAGATGAGTAGAAGACAATACTACAAGGGCATCATGGGCACTGTGAGACAGTTCAGAAAAACAAACAGTTTTCCTATAGCATAAGGCAAGAGAATAATAAAGTGAGGTGGCCCTTTTACAAAGTAATAATGATCATGGATTTTAATGGGAGTGTCTCTTAAGACTCCAATAAGAAACCAAAATGCATCAGCAGCAAGATGCAACAGAAATCATGGGAAGTGAGTATAAACTAATCAATGCTATTGAATTTGTCTAAGGAAATTAGATATCACGATACTATCTGGAAAAAGGTTAGAAAAAGCATTTGCCAAGAAACCAGAATATCCTCGGCTAAAACAAAAAATAGGATACCGTGACAAGCTAGCATCAAACCTTATAGTCCTCTAAGTATATTTATCTTTCTCATATATAGGCTGTATCAGGCAATGATAACATAATAGAATTGTCTATTAAGACCGGTAGTTCCTCTCCTCTCCAAACCACCTTCCTTGCATCTTACAACTTATTTATATCTCTATCAGACAGCACTAAGGGGATTTGGTACATCAGCCTCTTGTGAATTTAGCAAGCATGAGTTAATCCCTGTGGATTTGATCAAACCCAGGCACACTGAACACCAAAGTCTATGAAGCTGTGGCCCAGGAGTACTTTGACCTTTGCAGCCAAACCCGATGACTGCTGCCTGGCCCAGGGGCAGCTGGAATCCCTCTTTTTGAGACTTCTTGAACAATGGGTATCTTTTATCACATCATCTAAAGCAGGCTTCTCATCATTTTCTCCTTCAGAATGTATTTCCATGACCTCTTTATGGCACTTGATCCCTTCATCTGTTTTTTCTTATAATATCCATCATGATCTAACATTACCATTTATGTATATTTGTCTATCACCATTCTCTCCTAGTGGAATGTAAGCTTCATGAAGATAAGGACTTTGTCAGTTCTGCTCTCCCTGATTCCCCAGAATCTTGCTGAGAACCTGACCCATGGAAATGTTCAGTAAATATGTTCAAATACATAAATGAATGGATAATGACAGACACTGCCATAGGTCCAGACAGTAACCTTTTCATATCAATATCTTTTGGGTACAAACAGCCAAAGATACAATAAGAGGAGTGGATGCTCTAGTTAAGAAGGTACATATTATGTTAGGTTATAGAAGAGGAACCAAAAGGCTCAGTGTGCATTTGCATGCACACGTGTGTGCGTTTATGTATTTCACATTGTGTGGCCCAGATTTGAAGGTTGCCTTTATCAAAAATAAGAGATTTTCCTCAACTCTGTTGCCATAGCCAAAAATGAAAATACATATATACATACATACATACATATGTACATGTTGATTGTGTTTTCTCAGAGCCTGAAGGGACAGTGGGTCTCATGAGTAAAGACAATGGAAGGGAAGTTTGAATGTGGAAGAGGAGGAGTGGGAAGGGCTGGGGAGAGAAATGGGGGGAAATGGGGACAACTGTAATTAAACAACAATAAAAAGAATTTAAAAAAAGAACAGTGGGGCTTTGCCCTAGAAGCAGATGTTTTGAAAATGCTAATCCATCTATCAAAAGCAATCTCATCTTTATCCTATTGAATGTTAATAACTATGAGATACTGTGGTATTACTAAGAAGAAAATCTCTTACACAATTAGAATCCTTGTGAATACTGACACTGGGTCCTGGTACAAAAAAAAGAAAGGGAGGACATCGCTGTTATGGAAGGTAACTGAGCAATGTGGGAACCTGTTCTTTTACACATAGATATAAAACATTACAATAACTATGAGTTTGGTAAATGTATTTCCATTTACTCACAGAAAGCACAATATATTAGTAAGAGAGGTGGGTTGCAGTCTGATTAAATTCTTTCCTGGGCCATACTTTCCTCATATATAAAACAAGGAGAATGGCACCTGCCATATCAAAGTCAGAGGAATATTAAAAGATTCAGAAAAAAAATGGATGGGAAAATACTTTGTAAATTATAAAGTGCTATAATTATGATAATTTTCATAAATAGCATTAATTATAGCAACCAGTAACTATAAATTAATATGAATAATACAACTATTGTTAATTATTCTTCTTCTTAAGGGAAGCATCATTCATTAAGTGTTCTCTGCGGTATCAATAAAGAGACAGGATTTAATAAGGACTACCACATCTCTGCTCTAGCAGAAAGTACATCAACTGCCCATGCCCTAAGTCACTGGGATATCTAACCACAAAGATTCAAAATCATGGAATTACCCTGAGCTATACAATGAAACAAGTAATTATACAGCACACAACTAGCCTGTGCACGCCAGACTTCAATTGGTATCAAGTCGCTTTATTCTCCCATCCCTCTAAGTTGCAGCTCCTCCTCATTGTTAGTTTCTCATATTAGGTGGATGCAATTGAACAAGTTCCAGCCTAATGCTGTGGGATTTTATACCAAGACCCCCTTTGTTGCCTTACCTGAGCTTCTGATAAAAACTGTGCTCCTACGTTTATTTCAATCCTCATTATGGATTACAATAAGCCTCCTTAACACTATAGAGTCTATTTTGTTTTATGTCTCAGTTCAAATAATTGAAGTACTCCCAAGGCCACTAACAACCTTTCTCTGAAATGCTCATCTAACTCTCTCAGTACCTCTAGATTCAAGGACTGTCTTGTTACTCTCAACATTTTATACTAGATACCAGAGGCCGTAGCCTCATAACCAGCTAACAGAATCCTACACAGATACCATTGTGTCTTCTCCTTAACTCCTCATTACTGTAGCTTTACCAGTCACCTGAAGGCTAAATGACCTGCCTGACGCCAAATAACAATAAGGAAGTTTCTGCTGACACTTTGCCTAATGCTTTTTCTAAACATCATATAATCTCTTATATATTGGCAATTGTAATGACAACAATTCTCACATTCTTCAACCATAACTAGAGAGATGCCATTGTCTGGTTGAGGTTCTGCAAAAAAATTAAAGCCTATTACAAAGACTTGCATGCAGATCCCATGAAGCAGTAGTGAAGGACTGGAAGAGATAAGCAGGGGAAGAGGGAAAGCCAGTTCAAAGGTGCTGTATTGAGCTGATAACAGTGTAGGCAAGTAGGTCTCCATTCTCCTGAAAGCCCTCTGAGGAGTCCGATAAAATGTGGGACGTAGAACAAATTACCTATCCCCAGGCTCCAGTTCTCCATGGGCTCACAGTTGCCTGTGGGGCTGTAAACTCCCTCATACTCATCCCAAGAAATGGAGTGGTGACAAAGAAGCTCCAGGACAGAAACTGAGAGAAAGGTATGGAGACCGAGGCAAGGTGCTGCCGGGTCATACCCATGCAGAAGTGGTGGCTGTAGCGATGGCTGGTGCTTGGAGATGCAACTAGAGGATAAGAGGTGAGGTACAAAAGATGTCCTTTTACTAATGCATATGAGTAAGTCATTCATAAGATATTTTCTAGAAGATAATTAGTCTTATTCACTCAATAACTATGTATATGATAAGAGCTTACCAAACCACAATTGGGCTTCTTATAACTTGGAAAGTCAAAAATTTTAGTTCCACTAGAAGAATTATAGGGTGATGATACCCTGATTGTAAATTAATAGAGACAGACTTTAAGCCAGAGTGCAGAACCAAAACGTATAGCTTGCCAGGCCATTTCCAAGAGTCTGACTTTAGGTGGGTCATGTTTTAGCCAACATTTGCAAATCTATTAACTACTAGTGACAGTCACGGAGAACTAGCCATGATTTATGAGTGTCCATTTATATTTATTTATGCATTTTTATATCCAAATACCTTATTAAAAAAGGAATTAAACTCAGAGAAAAGTTGAACAGAGAAAATGAACTTCACCCAAAAACCCTGTACCCAGATTCATCAATGGTCAACACTTGGTTCTCTTTCTTTTCCTCTCCCGCCTTCTCCCTTTCTCTCTCAAATAACAAACAGAAGATAGGTGTAACCACTCAGAGGAGTTTGATCATTTTTAAGGCTATGCGAAAATTCTACATCTTATATGTAAAAGATTCATTGAATGCAATGAGGTTAAAAGCTTACAAATAACTACCTTCCAATAAAGAAAAAAAAAAAAAAGCAAATGAATTGGAGTTAAGCAGCAAGAGAGGACTAAGATCTTCTCCAACTTGACTCTGATGCAAATTTCCAGAAACATGGCAAAAGGTGGATGTTGCATGGTGGGGGGGAGGGGGGCCTGAGTGTGTGTTCAAAATAGCAAAATCTACCTTTTGTCAATATATGTAAAAGTATATGTTCTGTTTGTTAAAACACTTAGAGCATTTGAAAAAAGTTGCAGACACTTCCCTTCCATATACTTCAGCTTGCATTCCTAAGAACACTTAATGTCTTGATATCATTCTCACATCCAAGATATTTAAC